GGGGAAGTTTGGAAGGGGGTCACTTGGAAGGTAGGGGAGGGAAAGAGGAACAGCAACGATGACTCCGTAGCATTCCAAGTTTGCAGACCTCATCTGCGAACTACCTCTTGGCTTTTCAAGGAAGAAAGTGATTCATCAAAGTTAGGTGGGAAAGCGCTCTACCCAGGGGCTCCATATGCGTAAAAATTTAGGAACTTGTGAAGGTCCACCCATGTATATGGCTTGTGTTATCTGGTTTTGATGCGCAACCATTTCCAGATTTCGCTAAACTTGTTTCATCAAATCCTATCATGAAACCCTGCCTTGGCCCAACTCCCAGCTTATCTCTCACTCACTTAGAATAGAGTGTGCACCCTTTTTCAAAAAGTCAAAATCTCTTTCAGGTAGCATCACACCATCCAGGAAACTTCCCTCATGCCCATTAGCACAGAAAAGTGTGTTTTACCTTAACCCATCCCTCCACACTCTTATGTGAAAAACACTTTTTCAGCTGCTAGCCTAGACCAGTGTCAAAATAAAACACCGACAAATCAAAAAATAGAAAAAAGGCAGCACAACCCCCCCTCCCTGTTATTATTGTACCTTCTGTTTTTTTTTTTTTTACTTCTTTTATACAAGTACATGAGAGGGATTGAATAGAGACACTCGGCTGTCATTGCTCTTATAACCCATCTCAGGCAGGGTATAAACACACCAGTTCCACTTCCAGGCCCCATCTGGACCTAGCATTGTGGGAGCGTACATTTTTTGGAATATTTTTTTTCCATGACATGCATAAGGAGGGCTATTGACTGCACTGGGCTACCCTATATGCAACAAATACAGTAAAATAACTCATGGAGCGTGTTGTAACATTGTAGTTTGCGATTTTTACGCACGAGAAAGCAAGCATTTGCTTATGTGTTTGGGGTTACTGTTAATAGTACTGCAAATGCAATGCAGGTTTTTCACATGTTCTGGGAACACACATAAAAACTTGCTTTTCTGCATGTGTTCCTGAAATGCAGATGTGCATGGAGACTTACTGTAAAACTATACTGGTATTTAATAATGCCCCTTTAAGACCCTCCCACTATTGGTGCAGTTTGGCCACACCCACCATTTTGATATGGCTGCGTGTAAGCTGCCCATAGAATTGTATGCAGAGGCAATGGCTGCACAGGCATAATTGCATTTCATTTGACATGCAACTGTGACTGTTCAGCTGCTGCTTCTCCATCCAGCGACTCAGCACAGAGGACAGGTGAATGAGCTTCTAATCTGCTAAGCAATGTGCATGAGCTAAAGGGGCCTAAAGCTGGGCATTGCATCAGAAACTGTAATTTGGAGCACCTAAATCCAGGGAAAAGCGATCAAGGAAATATCTATCTCTCTCCACTCTCTCCCCCTCATGGTCACATGTAAATTCATTCTTTTCTGTTATATTGCAAACTTCCAGGTACACACTTCTCCTGTATTCAATCCTTCAGCTCTGCTCCACATAAGCTGTCATGTGATATGTGATCGCTCAGGTTTTTTTCTTGCTCCAGTGTGCACATTCGGCCAAATGATCGATCTATGCAGGGAGAGGTACCGGAGATACCAAACGATCCATCGGCAGAGGAGGAGACTGTCTATACTGTATATTGTGGGAGAACGATGCCCACTTACGATGACTGCATCAGTGAGGCATGTAACTACAGAAGACATGGGTCATGGAGCAGTGCTGTACATAACAGCACTGGGCGGAGCTAAAGTAGTGGAGAGGTGGGCAGGAGGAGCAACCTCCTGGAGGAGGAGGGCAGGAGCAGGGAGTGGTTCAATAAGGTCAGCTGAAGAACTTCCTCACACTCCGCCAACTGCTGCTTGTGCCTTCATTGTCTGATCACAGGTGGATGTGGTAATATGAGTTTAAAAATAACTAGTAATAGCCAGAAACTGACTGCAGTAATACTAGTGACATGTTGAAAGCAAGGTCACATTCCAGTGACACTATCTTCATAATTTTTTTATTGGAAAAAACCGTCCACAACCAGATCTCTGCCTATGAGATCCGAGCTGTAACGCATTTCAGTCATCTGGGCTTAATTGTAGAGACCTGGATAGTCTGGGGGGGGGGGGGGGGATGTTTAAAGCGGAGTTCTGGCTCCCCCACCAAAAAAAAAAAAAAATAGAAATCAGCAGCTACAAATACTGTATGCTGCTGACTTTTAACATTAGGGCACTTACCTGTCCAAAGATCACCCTGAGCCAATTCTTTAATCCGCTGTCAGGTGATGGTGCCACCATCTTGACTAAGGGAAACGCCTAAGGGTTTTCCTACTGCGCATGCACAAAGCCGCAGTCACTTCACAGGTCCCAGAGGGCTGGGGCAAACTTCTGGCTCAGTTCACCACGGCAAACGAGTCAGAAGTGGGAGAGGGTACCTGTCAAAAGGGACTGTGCTCTATGAGAGGTCGAGTGGAAATGAACTCCACTGTTCGTCTACATTTGACTTCCATCCTGGCCCATCTGCCTAGATGGAGCAGGGGATCCCCTTCTTTTGGGTTTTTTTTCCCTTTTTTTTTTTTTAATGGATTGAATTGGAGGTAGGCAGGATTTTTTTGCAAACTTTATACCCATCATATTGGATGGATTCCTGATTTGACAGGTGGACTTGATCGGACCTGTCATGTGGGGTCTTTCCATATAAACTCCTGTGATCATTTTAGCTGTAGTGACTGTGCTCTATCTGAGGTCGATGTGGAAATTAACTCCCCATATGTTACCTAGCACCCTGAAGTGCAAGAGACATGTCCCTCATACTTCCCATCCCTCTGACTGGTGAGGAGTGAACAATAGAGAGCAGTAAGCATATGTAGTAGGATTGGTTCCTGTGCAATGATTTGAAGCCATACAATAAATGGTTTGTACTGTTTTTTTTTTTTCTATTTTTCATGGTGGGAGGTGTTAACTATGTGAGGTAAGAGAGTGAGGTGTCTCTTCTTTTCCTGGGCATTGGATGCATTATAGTGGTTGATTTGGACTCTATGGGTGCATGCACACAGAGAGGGAGAGCATTGCAGTTTAATACTAGAATGGTCACATTGTCCTCAAGATCTTGGACCTGCAGTAGATCCATACGATATTGCAATGCTGTAACTGTAACCACTGTACTTAAAAGCCTAATAAAGCTGTGGGGTCAGTACTGCTTGAACATGATTTATCTATGTATAGTTTTGTTTTGTTAATTGATAGGCTGGAGTAGAGTTGGTGAATTACGAGGAGCTCCGTTTACTAGTTTCCATGGAAGGTGACTAGAGGTACTGGTACAATTTTGTCTTCACACAAGATTCTTCTTTTTAAATCGCTCTCATACCAATTATGATTGACAGGATTGTTTTCACTTGACCAATCAAATTGGCCAAACACCCCATCCCCCGCTGTACTATTGTATTCATAGAGCAGGGATTGGTCCTCTGTCACAATACACTGGTTAGCGCTGTAGCCAATGATCGAATGAAAGTCCCATCTGTCAGAAGTTCATCTACCGGTCGGCTTCTGTTGAACAGGGCCATACACACTTTGAAATTCGGCCAGTCCCTGCTGGCTGAGTTTTCAATCAGCATGTACCCCCCTTAACATTGGTTAAGGTCTGCAGAACTTTTGTGGAGCCCAGAAATGGGATGTATATGGGCGTCCTTTGGCTATTTTAGCTGTATGTGCACTTTAAAATAGAACTTACCCTGTCAGATGTTTTTTGCCATCTTTGTCCCAATGCTGAGATTTCCCTTCACTTCCTGTCCCATAGCCAGAGGCAGTAAGAGGAAATCTCTGTAAATTAAGGGAATTCCTTGGGGTCCCCCAGCTCACCAGAACTCGTGTTTCCATTGGAAGTTTCCCCCTTTTTGCTTCTGTGGGACAACCAAAAATGTGGGATTTTCTTTTACTTTCAATGATAAACAGGACAGGAGTTCGAATCCCTCTTCACTCTATCTTTAGAACCACTTTAAAGTGATACTTTAAAGTGGTTCTAAAGCCTAAAATTAGGTTGCAGTATGTCACCCCCCCCCCCCCCCCCCCCCCTTATTTTTACCTGAGTCCTCACTTGATCCAGCTCTGTGCCAGTCTGTAGCAGCTCTTCATGTTCTCACAGGTTTTGCTGGGGCAGCGGGAGCCATTGGCTCCCAGTGTTGTCAGTCAAATCCTGTGCTGTGGGGGTGGGGCCAAGACAGTCTTTCGGTGTCTATGAACACAGGCAGCGTGGCTTGGGACCGAGCCCGCACGTGTGCCAGAATAGGAAGTATATGGTGGCACATTGAGAACAGGAGCGCCGGAAGGGGACCCCAGAAGAGTGGATCAAGGCTGCTCTGTGCAATTCCATTGCACAAAGCAGGTAAATATAAACCTGTTTGTAAACTATATTTCTTTTCTTTTTCTTATAAAAATCACTTTATATTGCATTGTGAAATCTTGCTGTAAACACTGCTCTTATACAAACTGAAGCCAGAGTGAACAACGCCTTAGGGAAATACAAGCCATTCATGATCTAAAGGTGCTGCCACAAACAAGGTGTGAATTTATACTCCATTATAACTAAGGCGATTGTAGCCCTATTAGTGCATTTGCAACAGAAACAATTGAGTACTGTCCGTGGTACTTTTTGTGTTTGCACGAACATACAATTTTGAGGACAAGCTTTCGGGGTATGTCCCCTTCTTCAAAGTCCAAGCTTCAAACTTTGTGATTTGTATAGTACTGCTTGGACTTTGAAGAAGGGGACATACCCCGAAAGCTTATCCTCAAAATTGTATGTTCGTGCAAATAAAAGTATCACGGACAGTACTCAATTGTTTCTGTTACTCCATTATAAGTAAGCTGTATAGGAAAGGTGATAAGATAAGCAAAAAAGAATAATGGCTCCTTTCTCTGCATATGCTGTTTGAAAGTCACATGCTGATCACCTTTAGTACACTACTGCTCTGCCTGTGCAAGTAATGGTGACTAGCTCTCTCTACACCCAGGGCAGCCAAGGAGAAGTAATGTTCGGCTTGAGACCTTTAGAGCAACAGATCTTGGTAGCCAAAACTATAGACACCAGGTATGTATTCTTGTCTTCTTGTCAGTGATGTCACACCACAGGTGTACAATATATTTTTACCTCTGTTTACTGTATATTGTCACTTTACAGCTGTAAACCTACTTGTATGTAAACACCCAGGCTGGGACATTTATAGGCTAAAGTTGGCCATAGATGGATCGTCCTTTTTTTCCGTTCACTGAAAAGAAACAAAGGGATTCTTCCATCCAGACAAGTGAGGTGGATAGAGGAATTCTGACAGCAGGGGCTCTCACTGATCAAGAACTATTTTCCAATAAGTAAATTTGACAGAAGCTGATCATTAGATCGACTTCTATTGCATGGAACTGGCCACACATGGATCAAGATTTGTCCGGTCCCTACTGAACTTGCTGAATTTTGATTCATCTATGGCCAGCTTAAGAATAAGCTTACCTTGGAGGTAGCCTTAACTCCTTCGATACCTAATGCAGATCCAATGCTATGACAAAATGAAAACCTATATTTCTGATATACCCTTTTTTTTTTTTTAATAGAACTTGATTGAAAAGGTGTTATTGCAATAAAGTATATGTAAACCCTTACGTTTAAAATAGAAAGGCAACATATTTGTGTATATACAGTATGTAAAACAATATTAACCACTAGCCTACAGGGCACTTATACTCCCTTCCTGCCCAGGTCAATTTCCAGCTTTCAGCGCTGTTGCACTTTGACAATTGCGCGGTCATGCAACACATATTAAATTTTTATAATTTTTTGTGACAGATATAACTTTATTTTGGTGGTATTGAATCACCTCTGGGTTTTTTATTTTTTCTTAAACAAACCAAAAACCACTGAAAATTTTGAAAAAAAAAAGTTTTTTCTTAGTTTTTGTTATAAAATTTTGTAAATAAGTGATTTGTCTCCTTCACTGCTGTGCACTAATGAGGCTGTAGTGATGGGCACTGATAGGTGGCACTGATGGGCATTGACAGGCATCATTGATGGGGCACTGAAAGGCAGCACTCATATATGGCACTGATAGGTGGCACTGAAATTCAGCTCAGATGGGCACTGATATGTGGCACTGATGGGCACTGGCAGGTGGCATGGCATGGATGAGCACTGAGAGCTGGCACTGATGGACACTGACAGGTGGCGCTGCTGGGGCTACACAGATCATCAGGGCACACTGATCATCAGTGCTCTGATGATCTGTGTACATGTCCCCCTCCAAAGAATGCCAATTATCGGCTCTCCTCTCCTCACGAGCTGTCACAGCTGCCAGCTCGTGAGGAGAGAAATGACGATAACCGGCATTTCCCTGTTTACATGTGATCAGCTGTGATTGGACACAGCTGATCACATGACCGAGCCGACGTCTTCGGCTCTTTCTGTTGATCGGTGATCTGCTGTGTCCGAGGGACACAGCGGACTGCCGATCGCTGCGCTGCACGCTCACAGAGCTGTGCATGCGATGTTAGAATGGGAGGACGTTATATGATGTCCTCCCAGAACAAGAGAACCGCCTTGCGTCCATCATTCTATTATATGGCGGGCGGGAGGCGGTTAATAATACCTGATTTATAAGTGATCACATGACATCTGTTCTCTGCTGCATCAGGGGCTTGGGGAGGAGGAGGTGGAGAAACACCAGTCTTCATAGTGAATGACTGGTAGGGACGCATGTAAGCACAAGTTTTGTCCATTGGAGGACAGGTAGGCTGTTACCCCAGCATTGCCAGAAAACTGACCACACTGGGATAAATGTGCGTCTGTGCCAAGCATGGTCAGTTTGAAATAGGAAAGCAGGAGCACCAGGTATTCCACATAAAAAAGCAATACAAAGAGAACAGGATACTTTTTACCACAAGTACATGGTACAACAGACCTATATCAGGATTATGAAGTGTTGGGATAACATAGTCTTCTGTTGGCCAAAGCATGGTGCAGTGCAGTGGATTGCATCACTCCACATTGCTTTTGAAAAAAGTTCTACGTGTTGTCCTTTTTCCAGTACATGCCACTGTCATGCCCTAGTGTGAACTACCATGATAGGAAACAAGGTTTTTGCCTTGTCTGTGTGTTGGGCAAGGCTGCCTACTACATCTAATATAAACCAGCCCATTGGCTGCGGAAAAACACAACACAAAAAACATGTAAACACACTGTAAACTCAATGCATGTGATGAAAGTCAGCCTAAAAAAAATCCATAGTAATCCCAATGTTACTGCACCAAATACAACAAACTAACACAATAGCAGCTGCTCAAATTAGTATATAACTGGCAAGGGAAAGCTTCAAGGGCTGCATAGTTCAGAGTACAAATGCCTTAGGGCTGTTTCACACAAGACATTTAGCGGATCAGTTTGCTCAGCGTGGAATCTCTCTGCTGATGATTGAGCAAGTGGATGATGCGCTGAGCAGACACAGAGCTGCTCGCTCTCCTCAATGGGCGGTTGGATGAAAACAGACCACCTGTCCGTTTTCATCCTATTCGGCGGGCGGAAGGGGAATTGGATCCCCATCTGTCCCTTTTTGGTGGATCGGATGTCGGCGGGTGTAAATGGACATGTCCGTTTTACACCTGCCAATCCATAGAGGAGAATGGAGGTTCTGCTCAGGTCTGCCTGAAAAACGGGCAGGTGGACCCAATCAGAGCGTTCATGTGAAAGAGCCCTTAGGACACTTCATTTGGCACTAAAGTTTTTTCAGGAGATTATAACATTTCCTGTGGATTGCAATTATTTTGCAATCCACAGAAGTTGCCTATACCAACTTTTTCTTTTTTTTTTTCCAGAATTCTACTGACACACTGGGGCTGATCTACTTAAACTGGCGAGTGCAAAATCTGGTGCAGCTCTGCATAGAAACCAATCAGCTTCCACGTTGTTTTTTTTTTTTGTCAAACATTACATGAACAAGCTGAAGTTAGAAGCTGATGGGCTAAACCTTGCACAGCTGCACCAGATTTTACACTTTCCAGTTTTGGTAAATCAGCCCCAATATATCTTTGCCTCTTCACAGAGGCGAAACCACACTGGAGCGGGTCTTCACAGCAGTAATCTTTCAGCAGAAGAAAACCCCTTTCCTGGTTGCCACTTATGTGTTAGGTGGTCATAAATGGGTTAAGGAAGTTTTTATACATTAAAGACAATTTTCTGGGGTACACAGTCCATTAGTTGTGTGTGTGTATATACATATACATTTTTATTGGTGGTCTGTTGAGTCTTTAAATGGGTTTCTATTATGGTTTGGGGTTTAAGTTAATATTGTAGACTCTGGACCTGTAAGGCCCCTTTTACATGTGCAGAGTTTGCCAGCAGATCTGCCTGCTCAGCAGGGGATCTGTCTGCTGATCCCTGCTTAGGAGATGGATTATAAATTTGTGTCCCCCTCTGCTTATGCATAGTTAACAGAGAGCTTTCCTCTATGGGTGGTCGGATGTAGACGGATCGCCTTTACATCTGAAATGTCATCCAGTCCGCTAGATGGATGGGGAACTGGTCCCCATCCATCGATTTTTAGCGGATCAGATGCAGATGGGTGTAAATAGACACATGTACGTTTTTACATCCGCTGCTCCATAGAGGGCAAATGGATGTCAGTTTTTGAAAGAGCCCTATAGGATTTGGAGGGCCACACATCATTCTTTCATTACCTATTGATGTTGCAGTTTATGAAAACACATTGAAACACTTGTAAATACACAAAAATACATTCATGTGTGAATCCAGCTTATGGGGGGGAAAAGTTTGAAGACCTGGCCTTTCTGAGACCCTGTGACAGTGAACATTCACCTAATTCTTTAATGGATAAAATGGCTAAAAAGCATGCAATTTGCTAAAGTTACTGGTTTATAGTTATTTTTAGATCTGTGTGTTAGAGCTTTAACATCAATGATCCGTGTGACTTGACAACTGTGTGTGTTACTCTGTGCTTAATGCAAATGTACAATTCAAACGCAGATGCTCCTGCGTTAAAAATGGCGGTGTATAAGTGGGTGCTGCAGCAATCGTTGGCTGGAACCAAACAGAATCAGCAAGGGAGAATGTCACCAGCACACTGAGGATCACCAATATTGGTTCAGAAATTGTAACCACTTGCCTTCCTGAGGATTTACCCCCCTTCCTGACCAGTCCTCTTTTTGCTACTCGGCGCTGCACTAATTCAACTGATAATTGCGCGGTCATGCAATGCTGCACTCCAAACAAAATTTACGTCCTTTTTTTCACACAAATAGAGCTTTCTTTCGGTGGTATTTGATCACCTGTGCACTTTTTATTTTTCACGCTATAAACAAAAAAAGACCAAAAATTTTGAAGAAAAAGTATATTTTTTACTTATATTAAAAAATATATAGTAAACTCAAAGTTTGTTATAAATTTAGGCCAAAATGTATTCTGCTCCATCTTTTTGGTAAAAAAATCCCAATAAGTGTATATTGATTGCTTTGTGTGAAAGTTATAGCGCCTACAAACTATGGTATAGATACTGCAATTTATGCCATTTTTTTTTTTTTGCTATACAACGCTGCGCTAGTTTAACTACGGACAATTGCGCGGTCATGCAATACAGTACATAAATGAACTTTGTCCTTTTTTTCATACAAATAGAGCTTTCTTTTGGTGGTATTTGATCACCTGTGCACTTTTTATTTTTGGCGCTGTAAACAATAACATTTTTGAAGAGAAAAAAAATGTTTTTGAAAAAAATATTTTCTCATTTCGGTCATAAAAAATATCCAAAAAAACTAACATTTCGTCATAAATGTAGGCCAAAATGTATTCTGCTACATGTTTTTGGTTAAAAAATCCCAATAAGTCTATATTTATTGCTTTGTGTGAAAGTTATAGCGTCTACAAACTATTGTATAGCTAATGGAATTTACACAGCTTTTACTTTCTGACTGCTCATCACATTTCTTGAGGTGCTAAAATACCAGGATAGTACAAACACCCTCAAATGATCCTTTTGGAAATTAGACACCCTAAGCTATCTGCTGAGAGGCATATTAAGTCCATGGACGATTTAT